AATTATTAACGAAAAACATATTTTTCGCAATTATTTTACGCAAGTGTTTAGTGGCCGATGCAAGAGAGAGACTGAAAAATAAGAATTGATATGTTAAAATTATACGGAAAGGTTTTCGCGGATTTTAGATTTTAAATCCAATTAGAAATGGACCAGCTGAGCGAGTTCGAGTAGATATCCAAAATTGCCATTTTTTATTCATTTTGGGGCAATCGTATTATTTTTCAACACTGATCTCGTTCTCGCGTAGCATGTTTTTAATAATTTAATTTTCTTTTTCTTTCTTTTTTTGATCCTTTTGGAACTCGTAGACAATTGTTGTTTCAAAATATGTTCCCATATTCTTATTATTATATGCAACATTAATAATAATAATCGATTTAATTTTTCTTTAATTCCTTACATATTTATAATTTTTTTCGAGTGTATCATATTTTTTTTTTCTTTTTTTTCTTTAACGCTGTCGCAAATTTACTTTATAGATAAAGAGGGGGTTACAAAGAGGTGATGTATAAGTTGTATGATTTTCTTATTTGGTCTCTTCCTGCGCTCAATTTCTTTATTAATCTTTCTATTTATTTTTTATCCGATCATCGTAAAAATTTAGATTCGTAATTTGATTATTGAAATATTTATCACCGTGTCACAAACAAGATAGCAAACGGTGAAATATTATTCTTCACTTTAATCTTTATATACTACAATTCCTAAAATTGCTCTCGTTCTCTCTCTCTCTCTCTCCTCTCCTCTCCTCTCCTCTCTCCTTTCCTTTCCTTTCCTCTTCTTCCTTTCTTTCTATTTGCCCCTGTTTCTTCCCTTTTTTCCATTCCTCTATCTTCCTCTTCTCTTTTTTTTCTCTATTCGTGGGAAAAGCTAGCCATTGCAATCTCAAATATTCATCCGCTGAATTTCCCTAGTTCCCCTGTCCCAAGTTATGTTGTTCTATTTGTATTTATCATCAATCACGTCGTAATTGTAAATTATAATTATTATAAACGTTTACACGAAATAATAAATTCTGATAAAATGTCTCAGAAAATAATCTCGATTGTCCTGCTTCGCAGTATTATCAGGTATTCTGGAAGGGCAATATATAATATATTGAGTCAATAATTCCAAAAGCGTAATATAATACGCTTACATCTTTAACAGTATTTTAAATTTAAACACAGATTTCAAGAACATGATTTTAAAAGGCTAGACAGATGTAAGCACAATGTTCCTATACAGTAAGAATTCTTCTTTATGATTAGTATTTATTATTACCGTTTTCATGTTCGCAAGCTTCGTCATAATTATCTTCGTTGATCCAAGATTCATCGTATGTAGATATTGAAGAGAGTTATAAGATAGGTAAGATACTAAGTTCGATCGGATGTGAAGTGAAAATTGTTTGATATCATTTTCAATACTGATTTGAATTAATAAAAATCTAGAAATGGAGGGAACTGATTTTGAATAAAATAAATTGTTAACAATATTATTAACAATATTCGTTTAAATCTAATCAATTTGAAATAAAAGCAAAAACGATGTTTTATTGTTTATTTGATAATTAAAATTGAGAGCTTGACAGTTGAATAGTTTTACGATATCTTTGTTTGTATCTTGTTAACTTTCGAAATTTATACAAAGATATGTATGTTTATATATTCGCCTACAAAAATACAGTAATTTAATTGGCTTTTAATACGTATCAGTGTGTAGATCCTTGTATTCTTGTCGCGTTGTAATTTTCTAATTTTTTCATACGTAACATTCGCGTATTTTTTTTTTCAAAGAAAATGGTCTTTAATAATAAAATAATTATACAAGGCTTTGTACAATTTGTAGAAATCAAGATAATCGATAGAAGTACGATTTGAATTTTTTTTCAATTTTTAAAATTTTTTTATCTTTTGAATATCTACGATTGTTCCTTATTTTCGCAAATACAATTGATTGTATAAAATTGAATTAATCAAATAATAGTTTATAATGTTTAAACGTGAAAAATTTTTTCAATCATATCCTAAAAATAACATATTAAAAATTACCCTGAAATAATGCAAATTACTATAAAGTAATTTTATACCATTCTGTGATCATAAAACCAGACTTAGACCTTGGCCTACATATTTGCTGTAGACTAATGTCGTTTTAATCAATTACAAATAGTAATCATTGAAATGAATTATGATAATTATGAATTAAAGTAACAAATCGTTATATGAAATTTAAGTGGAAATATTTATTTGGAAATATAATATAAAACAAGTAAAAATGAAAAATTAATATAAAAAAATAATAATTGTCCCTTCCTTTCAATTTTCATTGTTCACTGTATATCAAAGACAATGTTTCTTTTATATGCAATAATAATATCTTATTTTACTTATTTTATATTAATATCTTAAATCTTTGATAATAATATCTATTTTTAATTGATAAAAATAATTAATTTCGGCATTATTATTATTATTAATTATTTACAAATAAAGATTATTTGTTACTTCAATCAATATA